AATAATTGAGCAGATTTTCTATTAAGCCTCCTCTGGAGTGAGCTAATGGAGCAGCGTTTGCCAGAGCTTGTGTAAGTGTCCTGGCAAGAGCGAGTGGCAGGGGAAGGGGTGAGGCCCAAAGGTGAGGCTGTTGGTCCCCTGTGTGCGAGGGCATGTTGTAATTAGGACTGGGCATATAGGTTGGAACAGGTTTTGTGGAAAGTGAGTGGCCATCCCAGGGCTGTGTTGTGCTGGGGCTTGGCTGCTGCTCCGCTCCTCGGGCTTCCCCCATGCGCCATGGACACCATCGCTTCGGAGGCAGGGGGAGCGAGGCCGGGCAGCGCATTTCCCCAGCCCTGCCCATGGCTGATGCTCTCAGTACGAGTCTGGAGGGTTAGGGCACGTGCAAGGAGCCAGCAAACTTGTATGCAAAAAAAGACCTAAGCAGCCTTCAAGGTGCATCTGTCAGGGAATTCTAACCAAAAGATGGAGAAGACAGAGGGAAGAGCACTGTAGTCACCAGGAACGTGGTGGTAGCAGCCAGCAGAGCACAGGATGGGGCTCCTGGGCCAGAAACAACCATGCTGTGCCAGTGGGATGCTGAGCGCGAGCCAGCGGGACCTGCCAGGAGGAGCGGCACTGGTCTGACGTGATGTTGGGGTAATTCTGACTGGATCTCCACACTCTTCTCCTTTGCACCATACAGATGGGTGCAGAGGGACAGACTAGCAGGAGGGAGGAGGCGGAGAGGTTCCCTGAGCAGAAGTAACACGTTGGTGAGCAGGAAGATGAGGAGGCATGAGGCCATGTCATGGAGGCAGGTTAAGCAGACTCTGTTCAATTGCTAGATGGTTTTGGGGATCACCTACACTGGAAAAGTCACAGAAGATCCCAGTCTGCAGGTTCCTAAACTCAGCCTGGCCACCCACCTGCATGCCCGAGCGCTGCTGGGACCCTGGGGACCTGACTGGTCCCCGCTGGACATGGTGGTTCTCTGCAGTCCCATAGGACGCTGTAATTACTGATCACTTAAACACTAATGCTCCTTCAGCACATATTGATGGACAAGCTATGGTGGAAGGAGGTGCAGGAGCAGACATTTCATGGACTACTCAGTCTAAAGGTGTCCTTGCTACCTTGCTCTAAAAACTCAGAAAATGAGTGGTACTCAAGTCTTGCAGCGCATAACATATTGGAGTGAGTGTCAACCAGAGCACAAAGGAATTATTAGCTCAGACCTAGGTTTCACGATTAAAAAAGGAGTATAGCCTTACTGATCCTACAGTTTTTACAAGCTGCCAGCTCCAAACGCTGCGTGCTGAGCAGTGGGACTGCCAAGGCCCCTCTTCTGGCCCCTCACAGCTGTCGGGCACGTGCTGGGAGGCAGGAGCAGGTGTCATGCTGGCCAGCACCAGCCTTTGCTGCTTCGAGCTCTGGAAAAACGTGAGCATCGTAAGAAGGGATCCTGGTCCTAACATGTACATCGTGTGTCCAGCCCCGGCAGCAGGAGGACAGGAAGGGACTGGCATTCAGCGCAGCCACGTTGTCCTGGCCGAGATGTGAAGTGCCAGGGGAGACAGGAGTCAGCGTTGGAGGCTGATCCCCAAAGCTGGTCCTTATCCCCATGTGCGCAGGCGTGGGTCCCTGCATGCCAGGGATGCCATGCTTTGTGCTGACCCATTACTTTACCCTGCGGAGTCAAGGAGCAGGAGGTCGGTTTGGCAGTTAGCTGCAGCTGTAATGGTGCAGATGGCTGCCGAGAGAGGACGGTGTATTCCTCAGGGACCATCCATTACATTTCCCAATGCCTGCCTGTCAGGGAGGCTGTGCTTCTGGGTATGTTTTTCCATGCTGAGATGATTTGCCTTTCAGGCTGCTTAATGAACTGCTTTGACAGTTCAAACTACCTTGCCTTGCTCATTGGAGCAGCGATGTGGTGCGTGGTCCTTTCCAACAATCAGAAAGGTGTGAAATGCAGCAGCAGGATTTTCCTGGGTGAAGGCAGTTGGGAGCCCTTGGGGACAGCACTGGTGATAGAAACCTCAGGTATGCTGTCCCCAGCATAGCGGGGCTCAACCTTCCTGCAGGGATAGGAGAATTACAGCCAGCCTAGAAGAGCTCTCCTGGGTTTCTCCAGTCTGGTGTGTCCCTGGAGAGGCCCTCGGGAGCTTTTCTTTTGCACTCCAGTTGGCCTGAACTTTCCCTGAGCTTCAGTCATTAGCCTCAGCTGAGGCTGCAGGTTTGCCGGAGCACTAATGCCTGGGAAGCTGATGTTGGCACCGGAGAGGGGGAAGGTTTGTGAGGAACCCTACAAGGATGGCGACAGAAGAGCAGTGGGTGGGTAACACCCACTCCGGGTGCTGGAGCCCAGAACAGCACTTCACCTTTCCTTTTGGAGGAAGATGTGGTGCTTAGATGCGGCATGTGCTGTGATGCGGGCTTGGCACCATCTTAGCGGGTGCAGGCCACGCTTGGGGCAGTGCCCTCGTCAGGTTTGGACCTGGGCTCTCTTGACTGGGTCTCCTCTCTCCCAGACGTTCCCAGGGCAAATTCAAACCATCTTTCACATGAGATCCCTGCCTGAGTGCAGAGCCAGGGGATGGCATCACCTGAGCTCCACCCTCAAGGAGCAAGGTGCCATTCGCCTATGTCTGACACCAAAGCACTTCATCACCCCCTGGCAGCACCCCAGCATGGCCGGCTCAGCGGCTCAGGCTCCTCAGGAGTGCTGCTCTAACACGAGGCGACAGGGCCGGCAGCAGCGGGCACGCAGGGAGCGAGGGCGCAGGCCGCCAGGGCCTGTCGTTCCGCATCCCGTCGCCTTCACCAGCCGCCAAGCAGCGACCGCAGGGCACACAGCAGCGAGGCACGTATCACATGAAGCTGCACACAAGGTCGATGTCAGGAGGGGCACTGGGAGGCTGCGGTTGTCTCAGGATAGCTGCTCTCCCAAACGCTTTCCCCTCCTTACATGGGTGGGGGGTTTCTGACAAGTGCTTTGGGCACAGTTGACTTTTTCCTGGGGAAAAAAATTGCTTGTTTCCTGGCTGAAAAAGTTGAAGGATGGGTGCTAGTGCTGTCCCGATGCCGCGGGGACCTTCCCCTCCCCCCGATCGCAGAGCGGCCAGCAGCTCTTGGGGCCAGGGTGCACGACCATGGTGGGCTGCGGGTTGGGGGGAAGGTCTGCGAAGGGTCCTGGTCCCCATTTGCACTGCCCGAGTTGTGTCTGAGCTGTGTTCTTGCACACAGGGTGGCCCTGGTATCCCCTGTGCTGCAGATGACAGCCACGTGCGCCTGCTCCGGCTGTGGACAGGATGATGGTGGCTGGCAGATGGGGGAACACCCTTATCCCACTGTGGGATCAGGCAGGCGTTATGGGAGGAGGTGCAGAGCCGGTCCCTGTGCCAGGGTGATGGAAGGCTGGCTGCTGGAGAAAGTAGCGCAGATGTCCCATGAGGTGGGGGCTCTGTCCGCAGTCGGCACCAGGACTCAGCCAAAGACAGGGCCAGTCCGATCCCGAGTGGGCGTCCCCACAGTGCCTGTCCCCTGCATCTAAATCCTGCTCATCCCTTATGGGGTCTGGATGTGCCCTTGTGTCAGTTGGTGCTGCTCCCTCCCCAGCTCCCAGGCATGACTTTGGAGAGCTTCCATCCCAGGGACAAGCCACTGGATGGTCCTCTCGCACCGGCCCCAGGCCACCAGCTCTGTCTTGGCACATTTAAGCCCCTCACCAAGGCCACCCTAACGCCGTTTGATGGGACCAGCGATTGCAAGCCCGGTGCGAATCACCTGGCTCTGTGTGCCGAGCCAACGGGAGTTCAGGGTTCCCTCAGCCCCCCCTCCGACTCCCATTGCTGAGCCCGTGGGTTGCAGGGTCTCTCGCACCGGCCCCAGGCCACCAGCTCTGTCTTGGCACATTTAAGCCCCTCACCAAGGCCACCCTAACGCCGTTTGATGGGACCAGCGATTGCAAGCCCGGTGCGAATCACCTGGCTCTGTGTGCCGAGCCAACGGGAGTTCAGGGTTCCCTCAGCCCCCCCTCCGACTCCCATTGCTGAGCCCGTGGGTTGCAGGGTGCCTGCACACTGCTGCCCTGCAAGGGCAAGGAGACACTCAGCCCAGCGTGAGCTTAAAAAAATAGGCATTTTTATTCCAATGTAACTAGAGAATTACAACGCAAGAGAGGAGAGGATTACTCACATTTATCGATAGGCTTATTAGATTACTGCCTAAATAGCTGTGCATTTGTCCGCCTCAAGGAGAAGCAGTGAAGGAGGGTGGTGCCGCTGAGACCTCATCGTCCTTGGTGGCACGGGGAGCTCTGAGCAATGCGGGCCGGGGCACTGTATCGCATCACCTAGTCCTGCCTTGACTATTTACAGCTTCTTGGGAAGCAAAAGCTTCTAACATTTGCTTGGCTGTGTGGCTGGTCAGGCGCTGAGCTCCATCCCTCCTGTGTGGCCATGTTTGGGGAGGGGGGGGTGCTTACCCCCACCTTGCAACAGGGTCACGCTCCCCCTGCTCCCAGCCATGGCATGGTGACAGGGACTGGCACAGGGTGGGAGAGGACGATGGCATTGCCATCTCCGCAGGCCCTGGCATAACCAAGGACAGTGCCCCACTCGTCGTGGCTATTCCTTAGCCTGGGGGGGGGGGCCCCTGGCGGTGGCAC